GATTGTGCAATGTTGGAGTGGGATCACTCATTCACTCACTCTCGCTCTCTCTCTCTCTCTCTCTCTCTCTCTCTCTCTCTCTCTCTCTCTCTCTCTCTCTCTCACACACACACACACACACACACACACACACACACACATACACACACATACACACACACACACACACACACACACACACACACACACACACACACACACACACACGAACGACATGACGGAAGGAATAGACTCTGAGGTGTCCCTGTTTGCAGATGACGTGAAGTTGATGAGAAGAATACACTCGATCGAAGACCAGGCAGAACTTCAAAGGGATCTGGACAGGCTGCAGACCTGGTCCAGCAATTGGCTCCTGGAGTTCAATCCCACCAAGTGCAAAGTCATGAAGATTGGGGAAGGGCAAAGAAGGCCGCAGACGGAGTACAGTCTAGGCGGTCAGAGACTACAAACCTCACTCAAGGAAAAAGATCTTGGGGTGAGTATAACACCAGGCACATCTCCTGAAGCGCACATCACCCAAATAACTGCTGCAGCATATGGGCGCCTAGCAAACCTCAGAACAGCGTTCCGACATCTTAATAAGGAATCGTTCAGGACCCTGTACACCGTATACGTTAGGCCCATATTGGAGTATGCGGCACCAGTTTGGAACCCACACCTAGCCAAGCACGTAAAGAAACTAGAGAAAGTGCAAAGGTTTGCAACAAGACTAGTCCCAGAGCTAAGAGGTATGTCCTACGAGGAGAGGTTAAGGGAAATCAACCTGACGACACTGGAGGACAGGAGAGATATGGGGGACATGGTAACGACATACAAAATACTGAGGGGAATTGACAAGGTGGACAAAGACAGGATGTTCCAGAGATTGGACACAGTAACAAGGGGACACAGTTGGAAGCTGAAGACACAGATGAATCACAGGGATGTTAGGAAGTATTTCTTCAGCCACAGAGTAGTCAGTAAGTGGAATAGTTTGGGAAGCGATGTAGTGGAGGCAGGATCCATACATAGCTTTAAGCAGAGGTATGATAAAGCTCACGGCTCGGGGAGAGTGACCTAGTAGCGATCAGTGAAGAGGCGGGGCCAGGAGCTCGGACTCGACCCCCGCAACCTCAACTAGGTGAGTACAACTAGGTGAGTACACACACACACACACACACACACAACGCGCCGTTAGCACCCTCCCCACAAGTAATTAAACACATAAAGAAAATTAAAATTGTTCATGTTTGCCACAAGGTTGATACCGGAACAAAAGAATAAAATTACGACGCTAGAAGAACTAAACAATAAGGGAACATGAGCACAACATACAAAATACTGGAGAGAAATAAACAAGGCAAACAAAGTGTTCAGTAAGAACACAGCAGAAGGAAGAGACGCATATGGAGCGTGAATATGACCGGAAGCAGACGTTAGGAAACACTCGTATAGCAACACAGTAGTGGAAAAGTGGGCAGAACAGAGCAACATGTTCAAAGATGTAATTAATTAACAATTTAAGAAAAAAGATGCGAAAATTACAGAACAAATGAGCCACGAGGAATTAAAAAGACGGCCAAAGACGTGAAGCTCAAAACTCAACAGTGAACGAGGTAATTACCAGAGTTATGAAGTAAAGATAATTACAGACTCGTCGTCATCTTTGCCTGACTCCAGGAAAAACAGGAGACATGATAACCACAAATAAGGGAATGGAATAATACGAAAGCTTGGCAGTGGAAAACTTTCTAGCATTAAAGAAAAGTGTACATTGACATACACATGTGGAATGTTAGCAAACTTATTTGAAAAAGTTTTGTTCATCAAAAGCTTTACCTATGATGGTGACACCTGAAAGATGTTTTCGAGGGGTCAACGCCCCCCGCGGCCTGCTCTCAGATCAGGCTTCCAAAACGCATCCAATGTAAATCAAAGTTCGCTAACGCTGAGGATGTGTTTAATACAGCTCATGTGATGCATCAAAGAGGAGAACACGAGGACATAGCCATGAACTAAGTGCTGAAAGGTTACTAGAAAGTTCTTCAGAGAGAGGTAGAACAATAGAATGAGTGTTACAAAAATAAGTAGCAAGTGCTACAACTGCTGGAAATTTAAAAAAAAAAATTAATTTTGCAGCAGACTAAACACTGACGAGGAAAATATTAAAACCTTAACTTTGCTCTTCTGCAACCTGGCTGGTTGATTAGCAGACGGAGGATCGAGCCTCCACCACTCCTTGTGCTGAATGACTCACTTGGATTTAGCACTTCATATAAAGAAAATTAAGTACTCTGTGGTTACAAACAGGAAAAGCATGACTGTGAGAATAGAGCTACTATCTACTGGACGGAGGATCGAGCCTCCATCACTCCTTGAGCTTGACTAACTCACTAGAGCTTAAGAGCTTTGTGCATAATACGATTACCTACAAATTGGTAATTATATAGGAGCAAACATCGTGTACTGATCATTTCCTTATCCCCAATGTGATACTAAAAGCGCATTGGGGAGCTGGTGTATCCTCTCATATGTAAGTGGACTACAGGAGAGAGAGCAAGTGGGTTGTGTTGTGTATGGTCTCAGCGTTGTATGGCCCTAATGGGTTTAGGGCTAGTTATGATGATGATGATGATGATGATGATAATAATAATAATAATAATAATAATAATAATAATAATAATAATAATAAATGTATATGCTCTTAAGTGTGATACAAGAGTTAGAGCAAGTGGGTGTCTGGAAGGTTCACATCCAACATACATCAGCAGTACATCAACCCCGCTTCACATTTGCCTTACACAAGCTGCCCGATACACTCGTCCCTTGGGACAAAAATCACAATCTAATTGACTACCAGGCAGCTGGCGTGGTCCCAGCCACAAATGCCTAAATTATATTATTATTGTTATTTATTATTATACAGAGATACTAAACCCTGAAAGGTCATCCAGTGCCTGGAGGATGGGAGGTGATCAGGTTTTATCCAGGGATGACCAATACTCCAGCACCACCCTAAAACAGTGCAATATCAAAGTCTCCTTGTTGATTATTATGAGCCGGTAAGCCTACTCGGTGTTCCATCATTCTGTTCCTATTATAGTCACCGACCAAGCCTCCCTGTTGACAGACTGATCAATGAAGTTGTTAGTGTTCTGTGCACATCCCGCGTATGCACAAATGTGGCTGATCACAAACTTGATTTAGATACTTTTCAGTTCCCTGATCAAGACACCTTGTGATCTAGTGGTGGGTGAGAGTTGCAACTGTCTAACAAACGGTTTAAAAAGAGCACTGACTCATTTATTAGATAGCATTTCGATCCTAGAACCTTGATCATTTCTAATATACAAAAGTGAGGAATAACAGTGTAAGCAGGAGACAAGTAGTGACCTGACGACAGTGCAATTCAGGAAGGACGTCTGTTTACTGATACAGCTTATCATAAAAAATCTACAAGATAGATGCACAATACAAGATAGAGCCTAACACCGAGTAAAAACGGGAGAATTTGTTGATTTTACCATATAATGAAAATCTCTCTCATCTCCTACAAGCTCTTGAATACTTTAATGTTAAAATTGTTAGCATGGTCGAGTACAGTATGTTATGATATCGTATGATGTGTGTCATGGTATACGCGATACTCAGCCAAGCTAAGCCCTTCTTACTTCACAACACTGGGAAAACATGATCTCATCGGCTACCTGACATCTCAAATCCTCAATATCACTTTCGTCATGTCATTACCCGTCATCTCTCACACCTCACTTCCAGTATATGTGCTAGTGTTCGCTCCCGTGTCTTTTTAAACCACTTGTCGGTATCAGTTACTAGGGACCAGTAGGTCTGTTGCTGTGCTACGTTGTTCTTATATGCTTACGTTTATGCTGGAAGAGCAGCCACCTCCACGAGGTGAGTTCTGGGTATTCTGGCTGATTGTACGTAGGTACATAATTAGTCTTATAAAATAGCTAAGAGCTTCTCACAGTATATATACTGAATGTTAGAATAATATACCTTCCTGGGATCAAGTCTCATTGACTCCCGTTCCACATATTGGACAAATATGTAGGTAGGACTGGTTGGATATGAGAAAGACCTGCCTAGCATGAGCTTACAGACCTGCTGCGGTGTTCCTCCATTCTTATGTTCTTAAGGGTTTTGCAATTCCCCAGGAATATAATTAATAATAATAATAATAATAATAATAATAATAATAATAATAATAATAATAATAATAATATTTTTCCACTCTTATTTTTCACTGAGGGTATTCTGCTGTCAGTGATTCTAATTTTAGTGCCGAGAGCCAGCGACCGCTACCAGTAGGGCGAGGTTTGTGGCAGCCCAAGGTGCCACAAACCCTACGAGCACCGTGAGGGCGGGGAATGGGGCTAGGCCTGGGGACAATTGGTCCCAAAAGATGAGGAGATACTTGTACCTCCTCCCATGGCAGACACGTCTCAGACACTCGCGACAGGAAGCCGAGGCCGGGTCGCCAACTGGCAGAGACCCGGGCCGGCAGTACCGGCGAATCTATAAAAATCAAAGTAAGTGCTAAGCTGTAGGGCTCATAGAACTTCTCTGGAAGCTGGAGGTAGTTAGGTTAATTCAGGGAAAAGACAGCTACAATTTCTTAGATAAGAAGCTCTTCATCAGTCTCATGACACCTTCTTGGGTACTGTGCAATATTCTTCTGTTTTGTGTTAGTGATAGCAACACTGTATAGTGGCATGTGTCACACCTGATGCTTGTGTGACCAGGCCGATATAGTATAGAGTGACCTGTGTCACACCTGGCGCTTGTGACAAGGTCGCTACAGTAATGAGTGACCTGTCATACATGCTTGTGACCAGAACGATATAGTACCAATCTACAAAACACTGCGTACTTAAGAAAAAATCACCTAGGAAACTTGGCTCTAAGCAGAGCTTTATGGTGTCGATGTGGCATGTTTTCCACCAGGTTTCTCTACAAGTGATGGCACTGAAGACAGGTAAGGAGGCAGCAGTTCTCACCTGCAGTGTTGCAATAATTGAGGAAGTGGCGGTCAATGTTGAGCGGCGGCAGGGGTGAGTGTGTGTGTCTGGCCACCGCTGGCACCGACCAGTGCCGGGTGCGGGCCGGCACCTCGCGGGTCACGCTTCTCACGATACGGATATCCAAGTCGCGGTGACCCGCGAAACTCTGTGTCACTGTGGACGAGATGTGGATTGTTGACTGAGGCTTAGGCTCACTGAGGGAGCGTACCAGCTGACTGCGGCTCTCCCCATCACCATCACCACCAGCTGCCGCACCCAGAGGCTCGTCCTCAGAGGACGAGGAACAAGACGAAGACGCCGACGACATGGTAGACAGTGCCGAGGAGGCTGGGGAGGGAGGGGGCGTGGGAAAAACATGGATTGGGGCGCACTGTCCACACCCACACGCCCTGGAGCCCTCACATGAACGGGCGTGGGTTGAAGCACCATAGTTATAACACATGGGCATGTAAGGTTTGAGAGTGACAATGGTGCCGCTAGAGTCGTCACCAGAGCCCTCACCCCCCGCCACACACTCACCCCCACCAGAGTTTCCCGTCCCTCCTGTAGGTTTGCGATCCTTTTTACGCCGCTTTCGTGGCTTGATGATCCGCGGCAGGCAGTTCTCCGCGTGCCCGGTGCTGCCTTCGTCGGAGGTGACGGAGACAGCATCGCTGGCGGGAGGAGGGGAGGCGTCGGGTGGGGGAGAGGCAGTGTTGGGAGAGCAGGGGGGTGGGGTTCGGTGGGGACCGCGGCTGGACAGGATAAGGGGAGCACCCTGAGTATGTAGTGCTAGGCGAGCCAAAGGGAGACGCTCCAACTCATCGCCATCCTCGCCACCTCCGCCCCCTGGGGCACACTGCTGCTCTTTCTTGTGGTGGGGTGGGGAGCTGTGCCCCCGTTGCTGCTGGTAGTGCTGTTGTTGCTGCTGCTGCCGCCCCTGCTGGCTCCTGCCTCCACCACGACGCTGAGGCAAGAAGGAAAACAGTGGCATCCCTGCCAGAGCTGAGCCTCCCTCCATCATGTAGTTATCAAGGTGTTGCTGTTGCTGCTGTTGGTGGTGGGTGTCCTGTGGGGGTCTGCGCCCCCTGGGATGACCCCGGCCCCCACGGGGCTTGGACACAATGAGGCAGGAGCCTCGGTACCTGTCCACGTCGTGCATAGTCGTGGTACCTGAGATCCTTCGATATCACAGTCGGTGAGACTCCTCCAATCTTGCTTTACTCACATCTACACCATCATCACTACTCACCTCTCTAACACTAACCAACAACAAAGTATAAAATAAAGCTACAAGACTTGCAATATCTGCAGATATATTCTGGTGGAGAAAAGGAGGCAGAGCATGCCTTATCACGGGTTGTCACTAGCAAGAAAGTGGCAGGAGTGCAGGCGAGAGTGTAAACATCACGTGGGGAGAGAGAGAGAGGAGGGAGCGCGTGACGTCTTACGCGACGACCAGCCCAAGGCACACTGCCGAGTTCTCCACACTTCCTCTTTCACAACCTAGTAAAGTCGGCCACCGCCACCACCACCACCACCTCCTTGCCACACGCCGCCTCATTCTCCATCTCACAACTAATGAATGATAATTATGAATCATAATCAAACACACGTATAAATCATCAACAATACATACAAACCAACAGCTATTTACTAAATTAAGCTAAATACGTTACATTCGCCTGATTTATGAAACAATTTAGAATAAGCATTCCCTCCCTTCTAAGTGCACAAGCGTATCAGTGTCATTAGTTCAGTGTTACACTAAGAGAAAAGAACAGTTCCCACTGTCATACACATACATCAGCAGAGGGTAATTAAACCTCTGAGACGTAACTTAACGTCAGTGAAACACTTTCAACTTAACAAAAAATCGTGCGTCAACTATGTGCTGGAGAGTATATGCTGAGGTTTGATCACCACCAGCGTATACTACCCTAGCTGCGCTTGTTAGGGAGATTTATAGCTCCAGGTCCAACACAGCGTACATCATGTACTCAGCTAGCAGTTGGTCCCTCGCGCACATGTACTCAGCTAGCTGTTAGTCCCCGCGCGTGTACTCAGCTAGCTGTTGGTCCCTCGCGCGCGTGTACTCAGCTAGCTGTTAGTCCTTCCCGCGCGTGTACTCAGCTAGCTGTGTTTGGTCCAACGCACAAGAATACTCGCCTATATGTGTGCTCTATTCGTGGTTGAAGAGGTGGAATTACTACTCCCGACCCCGTCCTGTGTTCGCTAGAGACTGTTTATGATGGGAGGATTATACAACTGAAGAGTATAATGACAGTATGGTGGGAAGATGGGAGTATACTCTTGGCTCATGGTACTTCTTATGCTTGGTAATACAGTGGTATGGTAGAGTATACTGACAGTATGAAATAAGACAAAATGTGGGTAGTGGCATTTTGTGAAGCCGGGCTGTGGTCCGTATGTTGGACTACGTGCGGCCAGCAATAACAGCCTGATTGATCAGGCCCTGATCCACCGGAGGCCTGGTCGTGGACCAGACCGCGGGGGCGCTGATCCCCGGAATACCCTCCAGGTAGACCAGGAACTTCATCAATTCACAGAGAGACGACGACATGGGAATTTATAGGGGTTGGAGAGAGGTCCCGAGATGAAAGAATGAGGTTATGAAATCGCATGTGAGTAGCCATGTGAGGTTAGGCGAGTGCTGTATCACATCCTGGGACAACAAGCCTCACTGAAACTTCAGAAATGATGCTGAGTTTTTGATTAATGTTACTGATTGTCACTATTATTGTGGATAGCAATGATGTATCTGAACCACATCACACCTTGTGGGATGTGAATTTTCAGTTTCTCTTCTTCCAAATACTTAATGTATCAGCTGGCCATGACAGCACTAAGGAATGAACCCATGAACCCGACTCAACTGCAGTTTTAGTTACAATCTGTTTCCCTGCATTTTCACTGTCCCTATTTGTCCAAACAATCCTTTCAAATCTGACCTCAAACTGGTTTCTGGCCTCCTGGATCTTATTGAAAGCTGCAGTGTATGCAGTTTGAACCAACAGTTGTGCTGATCAGGCTATGATCCATGGGGAAGGGCACATCATCCAAGGACTTGGGCTTATCCTCCTTGGAGAAAACTGCCTCCCATTCCTCTGGGCACTGTATGACCCCTACGAGTTTAGCGCTTCCTCCCTAATTATACATACTGTACATTATAGCTGTCTTCCCTTTTACTCCTCTCCTCCAGGTTGACAAAATAGCGGCCCCCACAGTGTTGTGTTCATGTCCCTCATGCTCTGCACTATTTCCATGTCTTCTCATTGGTTTGCTTCTATACAATGCATAATTAAACCATGTGCTGTAGTTAAATTTCTCCTCTTTCTCTATTTTGGTAAATATTTTTGGGTGAAGTAATGAAGTCCTGTGATGTTCTCTGAATGTTAACTCATATTTCTGATAGGAATGCCTTCATCTCAAAATTTCATCTTTGGTATAATACTCTGATTCTCTCTCTCTTCCTTCCTTCATTTCAGTCTCAATCTTCCCTGACTATAAACAATACTCAAAATATCAGAACACTGGTCCTTAGTCTGAAACTGACACTTAGCAGTTCAGTCTCAGAATTAATCAAATCTGAAAATGTCATTAATTAAACACCTAATATGACTAGTGCTATTTAGTGTAATTCAATGTAGTTCTACAAGCATTATTAAAATTTTTAATATAGTACCAATAATCACTGTAAATAAACTTGTATTTACTTAAAATTTCATGTGCAAGGCAATTGTCATTTGTTTTGAAGAGGCAGGACTATGAGTTTGTGCTTCCCCAATAACAATGATAATAATAATGCGTGAGCCATGCCCCCTTCTCAATATCAATCTCTCTCTCTAGCCGAAGCCATGACCAAGGAAAGATTATGTTGCTCTGCCTTGCTGCAAAAGACATGTTTGGGCCGCTATGAGGTAACAGTAGCTCTAAGAAAGAGTGATATATTAATTTAAAATATTACTGCCATGCTTCAATACTGCAATCAGTTGCTGGAGGAATGTTTTGTGAAGCAGTGTTGATTTTTCTGGGGGTGTGGATTATTTGTGTATTGTTCCTGTCTTGGTACTATGCCTTTTTATTCTTCAGAGTTTCTTGGGTACGTGATGGAACATGGTGTGTTGTAGCCAATCACCCATTATCCGGCAATTGATTATCCTGCTTCTGAAATAATCTGACTCTCTAGAATTTTACTCGGCTCCACCAGTATCCGGAAGTCTTGATTATTCTCTCTTCTTGGGAAACATGTTATAGACACATGTCTTGGTCAGATGCTGACCCTTCACTGGTTGAGCATCCTAGCTTAATCTACCAGAGCTATGGCTATCTTGTTTGACCTAGTCTGACTTGGTGCAAGACTCAAATTAAAATTTTCTTTCAAAACAGAATCAGTGGATTTCCCATATCCAAATCTATTTTCTTTTAATAATATTTTTCTTATGTCAGTATAAACCAGCTTAGAGCAATATTTAAGGAGGTATTGTTAAAACATCAATCATCCGCCACCACCACCCACTGCTACTGCTGCAAACACTCCCTACCCCCATTCACCTACACCCTTTATTCCCTGCCTCTCTATCACTACTTATCACTTCCTCCCCTTCTCTCTCTAGCTAAGCTTCACATTCCAGCAAGCACACACTTGTGGAGGCATGTGAGCACACATGCCTGTAGTCCTTATTATTTATTTTTAACATGCTGGCCGTCTCCCACCGAGACAGGGTGACCCAAAAAAAGCAACACTTTTACCATCATTCACACATAATCACAGTCTTTGTAGAGGCACCCAGACATGACAGTTCAGATGTCACTCCAAACAGCAAATATCCCAAACCCCTCCTTTAAAGTGCATGCATTGTATTTCCCACCTCCAGGGCTCAAGACCAGCTAACCAGTTTCCCTGAATCCTTTCACAAAATATATACTAGTACCATCCAACTTACGACCGAGCTTGGTTCCGACCAACTGGTCATAAGTCAAAATGGACGCAAGCGAGCCTTAGAAAATTGCCGACATACTGGGTAAGGAATAATGTCAAAACTTTGCTACATAAAGTACATACCTACATAGTATTGTATGTTACTTTTTACTAAATGTTTTACTACTGTATATCAGCATCATAGTTATTGTAATGATTTTATTTTATTGCTTTATTTTTGTATTTAATTTTTTACTTCACTTTTAGTATTGTATTTTATACTATAAGGTTTAGGAGAAACACTGTGTACAACACAAACAGTTGTTTATTTAATGATAGGGACCGAAGATTTCACTGGTTCTTTGATGCTCTCTTTAAGTATTGTCGACACAGTGGAATGGGAGAGCTGAAGATCGTGATAAATGCTGTTGACTTTTTTCCAGCCTCATACTGTTCAATTACTTTCATCTTCTGGTCAAGAGTAGGAGCCTTTCTTGCCTTCTTGCCACAAGCTCCAGTGCAAGATTCAGACTTCCTCTAAGGGGCCATGATGAAATTTACTGTCCAGGTACATATATACAGTACAGTACAGTTAATACAGCATGATGCTGCTGATAGTGATGCTGCCTGAGTGATGTGAGAGCTCTCTCGAGATAGCTCGTTGCCGCTAGTAGCAGTCAACTGTCCTACGGCGGTATGCATCAGCCCACCAAGCCCTTCTGCCAGACGTACAGTCGCAAGTACGAGTGGTCGCATGATGAGCAGGTCGTAAGTCGGATGGTACTAGTACATGTCTTTCAACGCACCAACTGTATCCCACTGAGGTAGGGTATACCTTTGAAGAAGAAGAAGAAGTGGCCCATAAGGAAGAAGGGTGACTCATAAGGAAAAACGAGTTTCTCCTTTAACATTTAGTAATATATATACAGGGAAAGAGGTTACTAGCCCCTTGCTCCTGGCATTTTAGTCACCTCTTATGACACGCATGGTTTATGGAGGAAGAATTCTGTTCCCCTTCCCCATGGGGATGAGTGGAAATAAACAAGAACTAGTAAGATTGTTGAGTAGACTTCAGGATGTACATGTTTATAGAGGGGCCACAGATATATCAGATCACTTTCTAGTTGTAGCTACACTGAGAGTAAAAGGTAGATGGGATACAAGGAGAATAGAAGCATCAGGGAAGAGAGAGGTGAAGGTTTATAAACTAAAAGAGGAGGCAGTTAGGGTAAGATATAAACAGCTATTGGAGGATAGATGGGCTAATGAGAGCATAGGCAATGGGGTCGAAGAGGTATGGGGTAGGTTTAAAAATGTAGTGTTGGAGTGTTCAGCAGAAGTTTGTGGTTACAGGAAAGTGGGTGCGGGAGGGAAGAGGAGCGATTGGTGGAATGATGATGTAAAGAGAGTAGTAAGGGAGAAAAAGTTAGCATATGAGAAGTTTTTACAAAGTAGAAGTGATGAAAGGAGGGAAGAGTATATGGAGAAAAAGAGAGAGGTTAAGAGAGTGGTGAAGCAATGTAAAAAGAGAGCAAATGAGAGAGTGGGTGAGATGTTACCAACA